GGATTAAATATTAGCTGAACTGGAACTTTATGGATCAAGACAAGAAATCTCTAAATATCAACTTCTGGTTTTGTATCGCAGCGAGACAGACGCAGGAAGGCCGGGCTCTGCCTTCCACGCCCGATTTCACCCTGCTGGGGGCCCTAAAAAGGGCCTAAAGTAACCCCGAAGAGGTGATGAAGAACATGAGGTTTCTCGTTGATCAGGGAGAGATGTCAGTTTTTCTGTTCAATCTGAGAAAAGCCCTTCAAACCAGCAGGGGAAAGGCTGGCTACATTCCTATGGCCAGCCATTAGCTGCTCACAACCGAAGAAGAAAAGCACCAATTAACATATCATAAATAGCATGTTTGGAACTGGGTGAGAATATTGATCCTTTCTTTACTACTTCACAATTAAATTTCCTGGGAAAGGCTCCCAAGAAGCTAAAAACCTCCAAATGTGAATGGAAGCAGTGTTTTGATTTCTATGGGGGACAGAAATATACAATGGTGAAGTGGCAGTAACATAAAGCTACAGTTTTGAAATTTCAGAACTGAGATAATTGTTAAGATTTTCTCTATGAAAAGAAAAAAAGAAAAAAAATCCACTGAGGTGAAACATAAGAAATCAATCCTTTGGTTTAAGAGTGGAAAATGGATTCTGAATGACATCTAGTGGTGGATTTCAGTATAACACGATAACTAGCTTCCTGCCTGCTTGGTGATTCCTAGCCTAAGGGAGAACAGCTGGCAATAAAGGAAAATATTTTGGCATACTTATCATCCTGACCTTGTTGGATTATAAACACCCATTGAACTTGCACTTTTAATCTCAAGAGGTAGTGGAAGAGAAAAAAAAACGACTTTTGATTATGTCTGGCTGGGAGAGATTTTGGAGCTGTTTTCAGGGAGTTTGAACACTTTGAACATTGTGGATTATAACCTTGCCTGACTGACAATTTTTGGATGCCTGAGACAAAGGATCACTATAAAATATTGCTTTTGGGACTGAACCTGTATTCTAAAATCTATTGGATTATAAAGGCTGCATATAAAGACCAGAAAGCTAGAAGAAACTTTTGTTTTACTCTTACTGAGACTGGTGATATTAGAGGATCTCCAGGAGTAAGGCCTCAAGAAAAAACAAATAACTTTCAGAAGGAAATATACTCTATGCTACAACTAATTCACCAAACAATTGTTGCATACAAAGAGGACACAAAAAGAAACCACAATGAGACTAAAAATAATTTAGATAATATAAATGACCAAATCTCTAAATTAAATCTACAACTAGAAAGTTCCCAGACAATAACTACAAAGTATGAACAAATAAACCAGAGATCGGAAGGTGAAGCAGAGGAAATGGACCTAGAGTTGGAAGAGATAAAAGAAAGGAAATATAAACTACCATACACAAGTAAAATACTGCGAGACCTACTCATAACGATGAAATTGCAAAAGACCATTTACCCTTTAAGCTTGCAAGATGAACCTGATGACAAGGAAGAAGATTTTGGGGAATGGAACATAGAGCTGTCAGGGGAAATGTTACAATTTGGGAGACAAAAGATAAGATGAGAAATTGAGGGAGAAGGAAGGTGGGAGTTGCTTCAGGAATATAAATGGGCAGAATTCCCCCTCAAAAATACCATACCTAAGTTGTCTTCCTCATGCCAAGCAGCTTTCATAAAAATAGAAAGAAAATTCCTGGGCGATTTAATTGCCTTGGCATGGAAAGCTACTTGGCAAAAAAAGAAAGCAAAAGTTAGATTTAAAAAAGTAGAAGATTTGACCTATTATAGGGGGCATCGTATGTTTAAGTACTTGTTTGAATATGATTAAAAGAACAGATGACCCTTAGATATATTTAGATTTTTATAATGAAAGATACGATTTAGAATTAAAATAGCATTTTTCCTCTTCCTTTGATATGGGAAATATGAAAATAAGAGGAGGATTGGTATGAATAAAAATTTTAGCTATATAAATATAATTAACATTGAGAAAATCATAACTGACAAAGATACTTTAAATATTGATGGGAAATTAAACCTTAACAAGAGCATGAAAAAGAGGATATTGATTAATAAATTGATATTATTGTTATTTGTATAATATTAGTAAAATATGATGAAGATGTTTATATCTAACTCTGTATACATCAATAGTACCAAGAATTGTAATTGTGTAATGAGGGGAAAATGGAAAAAATATGGGGAAGAAAGGAGGATCAGGGAAAAAATACTGGATTGTGCAGTACTGAATAGACCTATATTGAAAAAGTTAATGTTAAATATTTTAACTCAGACAACATGCTGTTTACTAAGTTCTAAAGATTGTAATTCTTAAAAAATAATTATTTTTTAAAAAAGAAATCTCTAAATATCACATGGTGGTAAATGGAAGAAAGGCAAAAATGGCTATTACCTTTATCCTACATGTGAATTTTCAAAGCCACTGACTGGCTGATTCTTTTGAAAACATTCTATTAAATTCATATGAGTTGAAGAAAATTCAAAGTATCATACCAGTTTTGAATAAGATCATATGGAAGATTAACTTCAGCTTCTGAAATTACAGTATTATACCCCACCCCAAACATTCTACAAAATTCAAATGAGTTGAAGAAAATTCAAAGTATCAATTCTCAGTACTCAAAGCCTCCTGCCTTTATTTCATATGCCAATATCCACCCTACAGCTTATATATAATAGAAAAAGATGAAGTTTCCTTCTAGCCGAAGATTGACTGTTAGCTGACATATCCATACTGTTTACTTAGAAACAATTTGCAATGTTAGTGTACAGTTGGTGTTTTGTGGTGATCCAAGTGCAGAGGCAGGTGATCTGGATGTGCAGCCACCTGGCTCATGGGAGGCTTGCACAGCAGCACCAGCAGCAGGCGGATGCAGAGGCAAGGGGGAAGGCAGGCAATCTGGATGTGCTGTGCAGCCACCTGGCTTGCATGAGGCTCGTGTGGCGGCACTGGCAGCATGCAGAGGCAGAGGCAAAGGGAGGAGACAGACAATCTGGATGCACTGTGCAGCTGCCTGGCTTGAGGGAGGCTCACGTGGTGGCACTGGCAGCAGGCAGAGGAATGAGGGGGAGGCAGGCGACCCTGATGCACCATGTTCCATCCCTTGATCTCTTGGCTTGTCCGTGGCCACACTGGTGCAGGCGGCTGTGCGGTGCATCAACATCGCCTGCCTCCCTGTGCCTCTGCCTCCACCTGCTGCCAGTGCAACTGCATGAGCCTCCCACAAGTCAAATGGCCACACAGTGTATCCAGATTGCCTGCCTCCCCCCCCCCCTTTGTCTCCATGGTTGGACTTATCTGCAATGCCCCAAGGGCCTGGCAGGCTGCAGCTGGTGCCAGACACTGTCGGGCCCCATGCACTGATACAATGCTTCCCCAAAAATAAGCCCTAATGCATCTTTTGGACCCACCCAAAAAAATATAAGACCAGGTCTTATTTTGGGGAAAACATGATAGTCATATGGTTGTTAGTGAATCTGGCTTCCCCATTGACTTTGCTTATCAGAAGGTCACAAAAGCTGATCATATGACCCTGGGACATTGCAATTGTCATAAACTTGAGTCAGTTATAAGTGTTTAAATTTTGATCATGTAACCATCGGGATGCTGCAACAGTTGTGTGAAAAATGATCATGTCACTTTTTTTCAGTGGCATTGTAATTTTGAATAGTCATTAAATGAACAATTATAAGTCGAGACTACCTGTATTACAAAAGTTCTTTTTTCCATGTATGCCTATCCATTTGTAAATCTAAATTGTTCAGAGCTCATGAACAATTTCTAGAATTATTACATAACAGAAACAGGTGTCTGAGGTTCAAAGTACTTTCTGAATCAGTTTCAAAGCATATACAGCCCTGTGAAATACAAGATCAGCATACCAAGATACATTAACTAACAAGAAAACAAAACAGCCACTTAGTTTCCTTCCATAGAGTCTTTAAGATGGAGTTTAGGTGGTGAAAGTCTACCATTTCAAAAGTAGACTGAATTGGAAGTAGATAATGTCCCTGTTTTTTCTTTCAGAAGATGTGAAATAATCTATCCAACTTAAAAAAACTATTTAAGACCAAAATTAATAAAACAATGAAGGTCTATTTGTTATTTTTGTGTCCCTCATTCACATATGAAAGCAGATTAAGATGATGATAATGTTTAAAGATAAAGGAAATACTCGAGTTGATTTTGTTTCCTGGTAAGGACTTGCATATATCCATGCAGTTTTATTGACAACAATGAAAAAGTTCTTTGCCACTGTCTTCTTAAATGTTTTGACTTTTCAGCCTAGCCTACTGCCAGAGGTGACAATACATGCATGTAAAAAGTGTGAAGCTTTGATCATAATGCTGTGTCCTCCTTCTGTTATGTATTCAAGATGAACAATTATTAATATTTGTATGTAAGGGTGTAGGTTTATACATACATTGCATATGTTTAAATGTGTGTTATGTATGCGTACACTTTGAAAGCAACTAAATTTCATTTTTAATATGTGCCATTGTGTCACAGTAAAAAATGACAATAAAGATTACCTATCTATCTATCTATCTATCTATCTATCTATCTATCTATCTATCTATCTATCTATCTACCTACTACCTACCTACCTACCTACCATCTTGCAGATTCAAACACCTTAAAGACACCCTGGATGCTCTGGATGATTTTTCATTCAAATACTAACAAGCTTAGCTTTCTTGAGATCATCCAAGGTGAATTGATTGTTACCACCGGCTTTGGCCATCTAATTTTACCTGGAAAAGCTTCAGGAAACTGATGTGCCTCTATCGAACCAACCTTTTCTTCCTGTCATTTATTTTTCATTAATCTTCATGCAAAATTTTAAGTTCAAAATCTGATTTCTTAAGAAAGAAGGATTTGGGAAGGTAAAGGTCTCCCCTGGATAAACCAAGAGAATCACTTCCAGTTAAATGGTTGAAAAACCATTTTATAACTCTGTATATTAAAAGCAATTACTCACTTGTACAAGCCATGGTAAGTGGATCAGATTCCTTTCGGAAATAGTTGTCTTCACAAATACAGAATTTTGATGCTTCTTCACGTGTGAAACTGTGTGTGGGGCATTTGTTGCATCCTTGACTTTGGGATGAATCCTTAAAGAATCCCAACTGGCATGCTACAAGAGAAGAGTTAAAGCTTTCCTGTGAGCATTAGCAGACATTTCTATAATTAAATCTTCAGGAACAAGCTCTGGAGAGAAAAAGTACATGGAAATATTTTAGTGAGCAATGAAAAAGAGCTTCCTATCTATTTTGAGAGATTCATTCTTTGCCAATTATAGAAAAGTAGAATATGTGGAATTGCTTGGATGGATGGATTTGTAGATGAACTGATGGATGGATATATTCAAATGAATCCAAATTATGAAATAAGACAGATTTCATAAGATGTAGTATTGACATATTGCAAGATTTGAGTTATTTTTATTTTTGTATTTCATTTTATTTCTCATTTTCTTTTTGGAGAGTGATCATTACATTATGTGAAATTACCACAACCCCCCCCCACACACATGCACACACCTTGTCCCCATATTTAGTTTTTTTATATGTAGTAGCAGCTCTTCCTTTATACTCTACTCAATTTCTGTTAGAAATGAGGCTACAGAACTTACATGCAATAATGTTGAGACAAAGTCAACTCAGAGCGTGCCCTAAATCTACAAGGTTGTATGCCAGCTTTTGAAAACAAATTACTTGCACATTCTGTTTTTTAATTCTGACCAAGAAGACTTAGATCTCATCAGAATTGCCTCAGTGCCATGTCTGCAAAATGATATTTGCCTTCCCAGCAACCTGTTCAGTTGCTTTCCTCAAATATCACTGTATAAAGGGATAAACCTGAAGACACAGCTTTTTTTCACTCTTAGAGTAGTTTGAATTCTTTTTCTCCAAGATACATTTGAGCTCAGTACCACAGAATTAAACTACACATCTGCTTCATTGATAGTGATACAAAGTCTGAAGGATATTCATGCTCACGTGAATATTGCCACACTTAATTTTTCCAAACTTTGTGTAACTGTGTTAAACCTTGTCTACTCAGTATATACTTATACCTACAACTAATTAACATAGTTTCCTCTTGTCACAAAAACCAATATAATTTGGGATATTCTTGAAGAATAGCACTAGAGCTGACCACTTTCCAAGCTCAGAGATTATTTTAGGAGGGACTTCAATGCCAGGATTGATTTGGACAATGAAACTCTCTTTTGCCATTTAAATCCTCTGTACTTACATTTTAACCATTTTCTAGTTAATTGGCTTAAGACAAGATATTTGACATAGGGAATGGAGACTGACATACTGTATCTAGCCATCAAATTTAGTCTTAAATGGCTCAGCTCCTAGAAATCCTGAGGAAAAATTTACTGTCTAAAAAGGGAAAAGAATACAGTATGTTTTAATGTATTTATTTACTAGCAACTTATTTACTTACTACACATACTTTTGTATCTCCTCCATTTTCCTTCATCTAAAACAGTGGTTCTCAACCTGTGGGTCGGGACCCCATTTGGGGTCGAACGACCATTTCACGGGGGTCGCCAAACAATGCAGTCTGCCATTTTTTCCCCCTTTTCCTTAGCTGTGCTACTCCTTTTTATTCTATTGGCTTTTGAAAGCCAATAGAATAGACTCTCTTGAATAGAGTCTAATTCTATTGGCTTTCAAAAGCCAATAGGAATTGTCCAGGCTGTCTCTGCCCTGCTGAGCCCGCCAAAAGTCCCATTCTGCAAACGGTGCTGCACCAGTTGAGTAGTCCTCGACTTACGACCGGTTGAGTAGTCCTCGACTTACGACCGGTTGGGGGGTTGCGGCATTAAAAAGGTTGAGAACCACTGATCTAAAAGGTTAATGCTCTGACCCTAAATATTTCAGAAATTTCAATAAGAATTTTTTTTCTGCTCCAAATAATCACACATAGAATATGGAATATGCATGAAGTTTAACTCAAAAATTCATCTTGAACCTATCAGCTACAAGCAGGCTATGACCTAACACAGTGCAATATAGACCATCTTTGATAATTGTTATTATTACATCAATTCATTGATGCACAAAGTGCAGTTCTGACCCAACACAAAAAACCCTGATTTGATAAAGAGCCTATTCACACCAAAGTTTTAGTGACTGCTAAAAAGTGACTTCATAAAGCTATTTTTTTTTAAAAAAAAAAGTTTGTTTATTTAATTGAAGGTCATAGATCAAAAGAAAGAGAATAGTGATTCTTGCTCCCAGGAAATTTGTTATTTCCCAAACAGAAATAAAAACTTTTTTTTAGTTAGTTACATTTATTAAGGCATCCAATTTTGACGGATGCTGGGCAGAGTACAAAAACAAAAAAACAGTAAAATATAATTAAAAATATAAAACTAAAAATTAAATTAAAATTCAAAATATAAAATTACACAGCCCTGACAAAAACAATCATAAAGGCAACAAAAACCACAATGGCGCTCCTCCAAATTACATTAACTCCACACTTTGAATGCAAGCAATCTGGGGAGATTCCTGTATTATATGCAAAATACAATAAAGTAGTTTGAATCTGGTTCCTTGCATCTATTAATTATTTAGTTTCATCCCACAAAAAGGGATGGTCCTCCCTCTGTGAAACTGGTGAGTTGATGCAATGGTATTCCTCACCAAGAATGTTTCTGCATTTAATCAAGACTGTTGCACATAAATTTAAAAACAAATTAAATCCACTAATTGGATTCCTAATGGACTTCCCAGATCAGTGTTCAATTTGGGGTTCTTTCTTATTTTCTTTACACATTTCTTCTTTTGAGATCCTCCTGAATTACTCATACTGTAATTTTACTGTATTTTAATGTTTACTGTACTGTTCTTTTATCCTAACCAATCTAATGAGACCATGATTCGCTTCACCAAGCTGCTTTCTCTTTTTCCCCATCAATCTCCTCTTAGAGGTATGGAAATCAGGTACTCAAGAGTCTGCACTCACTTTGCCTTGCAAGCCTATAGTTCTTGGGGCATCTCAAGCACTTCTCTCACAGATTTTGGATTCACATAGTCCTACCCAGTCCTCCACCCAGCTGCCTAGGCAGTTATTTCCTCTGGTTTACCCCAGATAACTCACCTAGGTTCATGCACGAAGTTGCCCAGTCACTGAGGCTGGTAATCCGTCACTGATCCCTCCTTCAGTCATTTTCCTAGCAACCTCTATTTGGGTTCGTGAAAACTGACCTCAGTCCCTGGAGTTCTCCGGGATCCAGAAACGAGTGTTTTGGGCTCCAAAACTGTTGCGCATGAATTTAAAAACAAATTAAATCTACTAATTGGGTTGCAAAGAAAATGAAATTTATTGCTTACAAAGGATAAGCCCAATGGCAGTTTGCAAAGCACAGTGGAGCCGAGATGGAACCTCACGCAGGAAGTTCTCAAACAATGGACCACACGCGAGCAGTCATTTTTATACATCCTATCACAACGCCCTATTTTCCTTCCCCTTTGGTCCCATTGGAAAGGCCCACAGAGGTCATAATCTATCAGAAGCACATAACCAGAATACATTATCTCTGTCCTTGTCTGCTCAAGTTACCTCAACATCCGACATGCTACCATATATATGGGTATGTTGTCGTTCCGGTAAAAAGTCATAGTTTGTTCTTTGGTTTTGGTGCACTCATCCTGTTTATTTTTAAAACATCATTTTCCCTTGAACTGTTTCCCTCAAGACTGAAATTGAGACAGTAATGTACAAACTTTTTAAATATTGGATTTACTATTTCTGGAGGGCAGAGTTATTTTCCCTTCTAATTGTTTGGTCTATCACCATATAATTAATAAACTAAAAAACATACATACTGACAAAGGTTACCAATGTTACCTTAAATTTTCTCAATGTTACTGACACACCTCTTTATTCATTATTTAAATGACCCTTTTTTCAGGCCTTCAACAGGTGAAGTATCTTTAAGTATTTTTAACAAGATGACTTCTTAAAACACCCACAACTTTTTTTCTAAGCTGTCACAGAAGTATGAAAATCCTTCAGCTGTTTTAATGGACAAATGAATGATCCTATACTTATGCTCATGCAAGTGTTGAAATACTTTTTTAAATTATTTTTTAAGTATGCACATTCCTAATTTCCAGAAGTGTAAAGAATTATTCCTCTGTCCTACTATTTGTTTTCTTATGCTTAGAGGATCTGAAAACACTTTAAAGTTATTTCATATCTGATTGCGTCTTTGAAATATGTTGCAAGCCAAATATGTCCAATTGTCTTCACAATTTAATATCTCTACAGCCAAGCTATGACTTCAAACCAGTAGGAGGAACGCGGAGAGAAAATGAGCAAGGTGACAGACAACAAGTAAGTAAGGCAAAAAATGTGGGGGGGTAAATATTAAAATGGAATTCAACCCACTTCATTTGCCACTTGAACTGAACAAATATAATGCAACCTAGCAAACATGGCCTAATTTGGACTAAACATTGGACATATGAATTTTGGGTGACATACAACTATACACTGCTACAGGTCCCCTAAAAACAGCAGCAATGTACATTAAAACCACCAACAAAAAAGCAATAAATATGTACCATTATTTAGAGAGAGAGAGAGAGAGAGAGAGAGAGAGAGAGAGAGAGAGAGAGAAACAAAGAAGCAGAAAATATTCTTGTAGGAATTTGTTTCAACACTGATACTTTCTGAGATCTAAATCTTTAAAGTGAATATAAATCAGAAATATATATAGCCTGAAAGTGCATTCATAATTGAATTTCTACTCTTGCACTATTCATGAATTACTCAAGCTTTATGGTTCTTCGCATGAAATGCAGGACTATTTACTCAAAGGCTATCTCTAAACACTGACTTATCTAGAGAGCTGTTTTATGTTACATTTCAAAATCCATAGAACTTGGGACAGAGATGGCAGGCAGGAGAGTCCTTATCATACCATACATCAAATTCCAAGTATAAATCTCAAGACAATGAACCAAATAGTAAAGAAAGGGAACTCAAATACAAAACAGAAGATGTAGGAAGCAAACACAGGGTCCAGTCAAAATGTAAGCATCTGAGTCTTTTTTGATGACAGACAGACAGACAGACAGACAGTGTTTGTGTATGTATGGGTGTGTGTGTATTGTGACATTGCCATTCTAGAACACCCAATCAAACAGTGGAAACAGAAGTACCTTTTGCTGATAGTTAGCCAAGGTGTGCAGGAAGTAGATCACAATAACAATGGGGGACTTTGGGGACTTTAAATAACCTGACACCAACTCGGATCAAACAGGTTCCTAATGAAGTTAGCAGACAACTTTTTCCTCCAAAAGGTAGAGGGGAGAACTAGAGGGTAAGCTAAATTGGTGTTGTCTTTAGTAAGAAAGATGAAGTGATAGAAGCAGTTGAGGCTGTGGGAAATTTGGGGGAGACTATGTCATATTGGAATAATGCAGGTACAAGTAATAGAACAAAGTTAAACTAATGTCTTAGATTTTAAGAGAGCTGATTTCAACAGAGAAAACTTGGGAAAGATTCCATGGATGAAAATCTTAAAGGGAAAAATAATTCAAGAAGCATTGGAAACTCTGAAAAATGAAATTATAAAAGCCCAATCTAGCAGATAAAGATAAATAAGAGTTCACAGAAAAAAAACAACAGCATAGTTGCATAAGGATAGAGAACTCATCAAATTTCCAGATGACATTAAGCTGGGGAAAATAGTCACCACTTTAGAAGATAGGCTCAAGATACAGAAGGATATTGACAGACTTGAATATTGGGCACTGTCCAAAAAATACAATTTAGAGTGAGAAAAATAAGACTTTACACTTAGGCAAGAAAAAATAAATTCACAGGTATAGAATAGATGGTATCTGGCCAAACAGCAGTAATTGTGAGAGGAATCTAGATCCTTAATTGGACAGCCACTTAAATATGAGTCAGCAGTGTGCTGCAGCTGCCAAAATGCAGGCTACATGAAAAGTGGGATAGTATCTTCTTATTTCAAACAGTGCCTGTTAAACTTATTAAGAATATTTTTTGATGATTTAAATGCAATGATTTTAAGATTTATATGGCAAAAAAAGAAGGCGAGAATCAAATGTAAATTGTTACAAGAATCTAAGGATAGAGGGGGGCTTTGGACTTCCAGATTGAAGACTTTACTATCAAGCGGTTATTTTGCTTTGGCTTAAAGAATGGATTGTATTGAGAAATAAAAGATTGCTTTATTTAGAGGGACATGACCTTCAGCTAGGTTGGCATGCTTTTATATGGTATGAGAAATCTAAAGTACATAAGTACTTTCAGAATCATGTGATAAGAAACGTACTACTTTCAGAATGGGAGAAAATTAAACATAAAATATACATGAAAATATCTGAGTGGCTTTCAACAATGGAAGCATTTGCTTATCCAAATCTGATTAATTATGACAAACTGGTTAGTTATAAAGACATTTTAGATAAAGAGGGAAAACTTAAGGACAGGCAAACTTTACAACTATAAGGTATTGATTTGACATGGTAATCCTACTTGCAAATTCAAACAAGATATGAAAAAGATATAAAATCAACAGGTTTTTACAAAGAACAGAACCTATTGGATAAAATTTTGTTAAAAACAGATGAGAATTTGATTAGAAAACTCTATAAATGTCTTCTAAACTGGAAGATGGAAGAAGAACAAGTGAAAGAAACAATGATAATATGGGCAAAGAACTTTGGATATTCTATAGATTTGGAAGACTGGCAAAAACTTTGGGATAAAAATATTAAGCTTACAAAAGCGGTAGCATATAAAGAAAACTTATATAAGATGTCCTATAGATGGCATATGACACCAGTTCGCTTAGCGAAAATGTTTAAAAATGTTTTGGATATTTGCTGGAAATGTAAACAACAGCCAGGCACTTATTACCATGCCTGGTGGACATGCCCTATCGCTAAGAAATATTGGTCTAAGATTCATAGATGGTTGGAAAAGATGATGAAATTACATATAGAATTTAAACCAGAATTGTTTTTGTTAGGAATATTAAGACCTAATTATGCAAAGAGAATGACTACTTGATATTGCATGTTTTAACTGCTGCAAGGATAGTATTTGTCCAATTTTGGAAAAAGGAGAATCTACCATCTGACCAGATTATTATTACCAGAATTCTAGAGTGTGCAGAAATGGATAGACTAACATTAGAAATGAAAGAAAAAGATGATTCAATTTATTTTAGAACTTGGGAAAATTTTCATCAATGGTTAAGAGACACATTAGAACTTGAAGGATTTAATATTTTAGAATAGATGACTGATTTTTAATCGAGTTCTAACTAACATTTTGATAATACAATTACTTTTCCTGATTTACTGATTTTCATTTGTTACTTTTGTTAGGATTTTTTTTTTGTGATTTTATTAGTAGTGTTTACTTAATAGATCAACGTATTTGTTTACTAATTATTTTTAATATGTTACAGTTTAAGCTTTGTTAAAAATGGTTGCATATGATACTTACTCATTATTATGAACTGGACGGTTGCTTGTTTGTTGAAATATGTGATTGTACCTATCCTTATTTTACCCTAATTCCTTATTTCCTTCCCCTCCCCCTTTCCTTTTCCCCTCCCTTTACCATACTTGTATTTTTCCTATTTTTCCTTACCTATATAAATTTAATAAAATTTTGTTAAAAAAAAAAGTGGGATAGTATCAAGGTCACATGAACTGTTAGTACCACTTTATACTGTATTGATAAAACAACACTAGGAATACCGTGTCCAAATAGCTTTACAAAAAAGATATTAGACTCTACAAAGATGTGCAGAGAAGAGATTGGACAGCCATTTGTCAGGAATATATAGGGTTCTCCTGCTTGAGCAGCGAGTTGACTAGAAGACCTCCAAGTTTCTTCCAACTTTGTTATTCTGTATTCTAATGAATATTTCTGAACAACTTTAAGGTTGGATATCTCTTGGGATATATACTGTAAATGAAAATTGGAGTTCTGGTTAATAAACTATGCTGCCAGATAAGTGACCAAAGTGAAATACAAAAAAATGGCTATGTTCCTTAGCATTTTTTTTTTTAAAAAATAGTTAACAGTTAAATAGTATGCTATAACTATCTTCTTTTTTCATTTTTTATTCAATAGATACAATATCAATACTGAAAAAGGTTTCAGGGATGCAACCCTCAGTTTTCATTGCAGCTATTCTAACAATTTGAATTTCCAGCCTCCGCTTTGCTATTTATTCCTTGTTAGTTAACTTATTACAACACCGTGTGTCCAAAGTGTGACACCATGGCTGATTTTTAATAGCAGTTCCTAAGTAAAAAAAGAAAGGAGGGAATGGGACAAATGTATATTTCCTAATTTATACACTGAAAGTTAAGAAAATTAAAACTCTGAAGACACCTACTTTTTTTTTGTTAGTTTGTTCTATCAACATTATCTCCTTATTTGATTAACACACAAAGGTGAGAAAAAAATAATTCCTAAAATACCGGTAATTGTTAAAACAGTATCTTTGACACAATTTACTAGTACTCCAAAGAACAAACTGCTAAGCAAAAAACAAAGAAATAGAAAATACTGATGGCATAACATTTAATAAAGGCAACTCTCTTTTCTTTCCTCTTGTGTGCCATATTCTATATTCTTCAAAATGAGTTGTTTTTGCTTGATGCTGAACTTGCAGAGATACTAGGACTGAGACTGAGCTTGATAAGACAGAAGCCCTCAAATCTGTTGTTTTTAATTTTTAAAAGAAAATGTAATTGTAGGAATGAGATAAAATGCCTTTCAATAACTCTGAAGATACCTTTGATATCTTTGAATATCTTTCTCTTTTAAAAAATGCAGGGGGAAGGAGAGGAGAGGAGAGGAGATGAGGGGAAAGGAAAGGAAAGGAAAAGAAAAGAAGATGAATGGGTATTTCTATGTGCTGCAGTGATAGTAGTAGACAGTGCTTTTTTTGTAAAAAAAAAAAAAAAAAAAGGTGCCGAAACTCACACACGTCATACAACCCGCCTTGCCTACCCTACAAGGTTCCATCCAAAAAAGGTGCCGGAACTCTGTTCTGGGCGTTCTAGGACAAAAAAAGCCCTGGTGATAGACAGTAAACAATGACTTGAAAGTGTACAAAATTATAGGATATTAGTGGTCACACCCAACATATTTGTTTTTAATTTGCATACCACTCAAGGTTGTGATGACATGGGCATCTTATAAATGTGATTTATAGATACAAATAAATTAACAGATTTAAGGATTAAAGGATTAAAATTAACTTTTTAAAAAAGCAATCACTATGTGAGAAATGGATACATGGAACTTAAAACACCCAAACAATACTTATGTTCATTAAAATTACTTACCGTATATGCCGGCGTATAAGGCGACTTCCGCAAGCATTAAAATTGGCGCCGAAGTCGGAGGTTGTCTTATATGCCGAATCGTCTTATACACCGGTAATACTGGTAGTTTCCAGCGTATAAGATGACGTTCTAGGAATGCGACTCGGCACCAAAGACGGGGGTGGTCTTATATACCGGGTCACCTTGTACGCCGGCATATACGGTATGTTTATTTACTGTTTAATCTTTCTCAATACTTCAGATGGTAACTGATAATCTTATTGATGCAATAGCAATATCTGAATCAATTTCCAGTAATTTTTGCCAAGTGAAAACATTAAAGAATGTTTGAATATTTCCTGATTAATTTATGCTAATATAAAAACCACAAGGCTATGAGGTTTGCAAATATTTGAATATGAATAAAGATTTAAGCTCTTCCAGCAATGTTGATTGAAAGCAGAGAAAACATCTAAGAGAAAACAAATTATTTCTTATGTTAAGATAATTAGATGCTTTTGAGTTAGTAGTGATTCCAGGTGACTATATGGCCCCTGTCCCAGTAGAAAAAGCAAAGTGTAGTACTAAAAAAAAAAATTAAATAGACTTGGCAAAATGCTCAATATGGATTGAATAAATTACTTTCAGCTAAACCAAACTTTATACCAACATGCTTAACAATAGAAAGAATGAAAATATGGAGAACATTCAATGATAATTTTGCTGTACAAATTATAGGTTCCAATATGGTTATAGTTTGTATGTAACGTCTAAAGACATAAATCTGAGTTTTCAAAAAAGTTACTGAAAGCTTTGAAAAACAACAGGAATTTTATGACAATTAATTTTTTTCTTTTTTCTTTGAGATGAAAGTTCCATACTTGGTTGGTCAACAAAAAAAAACTGATTTGTAAGGGCATTTAAATAGAAGAAAGTATACTGATGAAGAAGAAGAAGATGATGATGGTCTATTGAATTTAGAAGATCATTAAGTTAAAGAAAATTACTCCAGGACACATGCAGTGATGTATTGCCATAAAATAACAAAAACTACTACTGTACTACAATATCCCAGATACAATAAAAGCAGACATTGGGGAAATTCACCAAAAGAAGATTCCAACCATTCAGCAGAATGATTACCTTGACTCAAGGCGTTCTTGAAAAGTCGGGGTTTTAATGCTTTCCCGAATAACAGCAAGGTGGGAATAGACAGATCTTAAAAGGAAGGGCATGAATTATAATAGACAAAAAAATCTCATTTGCTAGTTGTAAATCATTAATATTGATTAATGAATAATTGTACTGTTTGTTTTTATTTTAAGAATTCCAGTTCTATTTTGTTTCATATTTGCTGCAATCACTTTAAAATTAGAATTAATAGAAAGGGGAGGTATACATTCAAGAAAAAATAAAATAACTCATTGTAAATAGAATGCATATGCAGAATATACTAGTATAGTAAGGCCAGCTGGATTAGAAGATGAACATAAAACTGAAGGAAGAAACATCAATAACCTGTATTCTACTGATAATACTGTTGAAAATGCAAAGATTTTGCAAGCCATAATACTAAAAGTCAAAGAACTTTGTGAAAAAAAATGAGACTAAAATTAAATGTAAAGAAACCACACTAATGTCAACAGATATAATAAGCTGATTTAAAACTAAGAATGAAGTTATCAAAGTAGTAGATAGTGTTTGCTTTTTAGGATTAACCATCAATATTTAAGGAACCAGCACTCAAGAAATATGCTACAAATTAGCACTTGGTATAGTAGCCATGAAGCCTTTTAAAATGACATTCAAATATGGTGATGTGTCTACCTACAAAGAACTTTTTTTTGTATATATTTATTCCAAATAACTTTCATGTATCTTTTAATTTGAATATGCAAAAATGCCTTTCTCCCTGCCTCTATTAATCAAGCTACATAAACACAAAAACATTATCTTAATTGATGGATGATATTCCATGCAAATAAGATTACTTGCCTTTTCTGATGTTTTTCATCCTACACTACTTTCTGGTCAGTTTAGGAACTGAGAAATGAATACACACACACACACACACACACACACACACACACACACACATACATGTACAATACAAATTTTTATTTGCATCTTTGTGGACGATTCTCAAACTCTTGCTTTCTAATTCTTATATATCTATGTTCGCTAACCTCAGTATTTCTTTCCTTTATTGTCAGACCACTTCAATTCTATCACTATGTACCTCATCAGTATTTTCAAAGTCAGAAAATAATGAAACTTTATATAACTTGCAATGTTTCCAAAATTCTTTTTAACAGACAATATGCAGAATGATGCAAACAGAATGCAAAATGGAATGTCTTCCCAAAGCAACTTGAAAAATAGCATGCAGGAACACAGCTTCCCATGATGTTCTTTATAATATGCAGGGGCTCTATGTCAATACTCAGTTATGGCTATCTTTCATTAGTTAAAATCCATTGATTTTTTTATAATAATCAACATTAAAATTAAGATGAAACCTAATAAATGACAGCTTAAAGCAAATCATCGCAGGTTAAAAAGAACTATTTTAAGATCACAGCTGTAATTAACTGTGGAAGAATAGGCATGATGTTGTTCTCCTAGTGCAATCATCTAGCAATGGAATTAAACATGCTCCCTGAAATGTTCTTTCCAACGTATCTGCTTGCAGATGGAATGGCCAAAGTGTAAGGCTGGGTCTTTAAAGAATAGGAAGCTATTAGTGGACTAAAATTCCATCATAAGAATCAGGAATGATATATTGCTGATAGATATATCTGGAATATCTCAGTGAAGAATATAGGGCTGGAAGGGACTTTGGAGAAGTCTCCGACAAAATAATTGGGGGGAGTTGACTCGGTCTTTTAATTCCTAACTTCCCATTCAATCCAAAGAGTTTTATTATTGCCTGGATTTTAGAGAGGGGAGGAGGCAAGAATAGACCACAAAACTAATCTGCAAGTTTGCTCTCTCGCCTGCCTGCACACCACTTTCCCGTGTATGTGTGTATGTGTATGAGAGACAGAGAGAGAGAGATCCCCTTTTTGTAAGTTTGCTTACAGTGCAACTCCCTGCTAGCTCTCTCTCTCTCTCTCTCTCTCTCTCTCTCTCTCTCTCTCTCTCTCTCTCTCTCTCTCTCTCTCTCTCTCTCTCACACACACACACACACACACACACACATAAGTTAATAAAAAAGAGAAGGAGGGGGGAGAAAGGTGGAAGCTCTCTTTTTTTGTAAAACCTCAGCTTCCTCCTCCTCTTCCCCTCCTGGCTCTCTCTCTGTCATACACACACACACACACACACACAGAGAGAGAGAGAGAGAGAGAGAGAGAGAGACAGAGACAGAGACCCTTCCTGTTTTCTCCCCCTCGTCCTTTTTCTCAGCTGCACCTGAACGGAGTGGGAGGAAATTAAAAAAAGAGAGAAGGGGTGGAAGAATGGGGGAAGCTTCCTCCTCCTCCTCTTCCACTCCTGGCTCTCTCTCTCTCTGTGTGTGTCTCTGTCCCTGTCTCTCTTCCTCACATACACAGAAACCCTTCCTGCTTTCTCTTCCTTCTCAGGCCTGGTAAAGCAGAGCCGCACGAGGAGAAGTCCAGCAAAGTGGGGCATGGCCAGGCGTGACGGTGTTAAGCTGGGAGGGGAAGGGCGGGCTAAAGCAAATGAGCTGCTGCTGCACACCACCAGCTGCTGAGCACTTGCTGTTTCCTGCGCATGCTCCAAAGTGCCCAGCTGGGTTGCGGTGGGCCAGGGCTGGGGAAGTGGGGCCGGTCCCTTACCATTTCTGGGACAGCCCCAGAGGGGCAAATCTGGGCCCTCCCCGGGCTGCATCCGGCCTGCAGGCCTTGTGTTTGACTTGTCTGCCCTAATCCTTCTCTTCCTTAGGCTAGACATACTTAGTTCCCTTAACTGTTTAACAGTCTCCAGACCCCTTATCATCTTTGTTGCTCTACTCTACAGTCCTTTTAGGGTCTTTTTTTATTGTGGTAATCAAAACCAATCAAAAGCGTGGATTCATTAGTGCAGTACAGAACAGTACTACTACTTTCTGTGATCTTGATGCTATTTCTCTATAGGATACAGTCTAGAACTGCATTGGCTTTTTTGGCAGCTCCAGCACATTGCTAGCTTATACTTAAACAAGACACCAAGATCTCTCTCACATAATTGTTGAGCCAGGTACTGCCTATTTTACACTGCACATTTGGTTTTTCCTATCTAAGTACAGTCTCAGTACTGAATTGCAGCCCAATGTTCAAATCTACCAAGACCCTTCTGCATTTTGAATCTCTCTTTCAAACTGTTTTCAATCCCCCCCCCCTGTCCCTGCCTGCCCAGTTTGGTGTTGTCTGCAAATTTTATATGTTCCCCTTCTATTGCCTCATCCAAATCATTTACAAAAATGTTGAAGAGCACTGGGCCCAAGACAGAAAGTTGAGGTACCTTATTGCATGTTTCCCTCCATGTAGTCCATTGAGGACTACATGCTGAGCACAGTTGGTCAGACAACTAGGAATTCACCTGGGGGTAGTACTGTCTACCTCACATTGTTCTATCTTACCAAGATGTGGGCTATGGTCTACTTTGTCTAAAGCATTATTGAAGTCTAAGTAAACTATGTTTACAGTTTTTCCCTGATCCACTAATTTAGTCACTTTGTCAAAGAAGGCAATTGTCATGGTTCCAATAGATGAGACCAGTAGGAATAAGAACTCCAAGGCATTTGCTTTCCTCAAAGAACACATTTAATGGATACATAGTATTGGCACAAACAAAGGTGAAACCAAGACTGAAAGTTCCCCCCAAGGTTACAAAGTAACAAGTTGAACTTCCCACCCTGCAATATGTCATAAATCACAATCCCCAATTAACTACTTTGGTGGGCTTTCTAACAGAAGCCTCAGCCTGCCAAAACATAGGTAGCTTGACTTTAGTTCCTACAGAACAGTTATTATTATGTCTAAACTAAAAGAATATATCTCCGTCCTCCCATTACTGTGGCAACCGAAAATGAAATGAAGATGGCTGAAGCCAAGTTCGTTTGAAAGTTGACAGATCCTCTAGAGAAGAGAGAAATCCTGTAGGTAAAGAAGGAGTTAGAGTCAGAATCACTCCTAGGCTTATTAGGATGTCTATCATAAAATTTATGTATTAATCTATCAGCTTTTACATCAGTACTTTTTACCCAGGTGGCCTCTGATAGTAGGTAACCTTTCCACTGCAATGGATACTGTAACTTTCCCTTGTACAACCTTGAATCAAAGATTTGTTTTATTTCGTAATGAGTCTCTCCCTCCACGACAAGGGGACCAGGTGCCTGTTTTGGAGATGGTCTCAATGACGACTCTCAGTATGGATTCAATAGGCTGCAGTGGAACACAGGGTGAACTTTCCCTAAAAGGGGAGGGAGCTTTAATTCCACTGTGACTGGGTTTATAATCCGCACTATGGAAAAAGGTCCAAGGAATTTAGGTCCCAATTTTTTTACTAGGCAGCTTGAGTCTTAGATATTTTGTAGAGAGATAAACCATTTCACCCACACAAAATGGCTTCTGGGTAATTTGGCTCCCAGTAAAATTTGAATAGCACAGTCAGTGGTTCTGTGGGGAGGGCCAGGACATCGCACTCTGCCTCGCTGAATGCTTCTGATAGGTCTCTATATTCACTTGGGATAAGTGGCTCTCCCAGCGGGGGACTCACAGCAGATTCAAGGTCTCCAAGTGCTGCCCTTGACTCTCACATGGGCTACTGATTGGGGTAGGAGGTGAAGGCCCAGTTGCTAGCCTTAGAGTCCTCACTCCATTCTCCCATCATATCATTGGGTGCCATTTGTCAAGCCACACTAGCCCCAGAATCACTGCTTCTGTCATTTTTGGGATCACCACAAAATGGATTAGCTCCCAATTCTCCCCTATCTCTAGGCATACTTGCTCAGTCGAGTGGCTGGGGCTCCTCCTATGAAAGATCCATCGGCCTGCTCGAACCTCATGGGTAGAGGCAGTAGTTTTGCCCTAATGCACAGCTTAAGCACCATTGGGAAGTTGATCAAGCATCTGGTGCAGCCCAAATCAATTAAAATGTTCAAATCCATCTGAGCCCCAGATTTAGTCACTAATAGTTTGGCAGAAAGGGTAAAAGGTGGGATAGGCTGACTCACCATGTTCGTCTTCTCCTGCATCATCACTGTTGTAGGGATCAGGTGTGGGCAGGCATTCAACTGAACCTTCTTGCTTCT